AGATCGCTTGACTTTGATCATCGTCGGCCACAAATGGTCGGGAATGAAAATCCAGCTGATGTTGGCTGTATTTGTACTCCCACGTTCGGCTCATTCTATTCTATATCAATCCCGTTTTCCTGCACTTCCCTGAAAAAATTCTGCATGAAAAGTTGACTAATTGTTGTCACTGTTATTACTCTCTCCAGTTACACGGTACAGTTATGGAATTTGCGCGTATCATCTTTTCAAACTGTCAAAAAAGAAGAAAGTCATATTTTGGCCAAATTATGTAATAAGTTGACGCTTTGAAGGCATTTATTTTTTATCTGCCAAAAAGCAACAGATAGTGTTGTATCATCTCAGCCGGAAATGAATGATGGCATGCGATTGCTTATCACTGTTGTTTGCACAAGATAAAGGGTTTGTGGGCCATTTAATTGTAAGAGTAGGAACACTTCGCCTTTAAATATCGAATCTGTAGGACATGTTTTTTCTAGATACCCCATGGTTTCGAGATAAGCGCTCGTAACTTAGTCTGCATAATCCTGCGTACAGAGAACTTCCACAATTGTTATGTGTGAATATCAACACATTCACCATTTTCAAAGCTGCTTTGAAAGCTTTGACAATCATGTGCCTGCATGTCTTAAATACGCTCGAAAATTATTAGTTTAATATCAGAAACCTGATCCATCGAATCAGTATAGCCCTATACAGCTGCGCCGAGCAACCGAAAGTAAGTTTCTTTCCTTTTTCATGAATACAACAAAGGAGTATAGATGGCACATTCCAAAGGTTGCTTCACCTGACTTATCTTCCAATTACCCGCGAGGTATATTTCGCATTTGGTGCAGCATCGATAATTGGATCTAAACTAGATCCAAATTTGTATATTTGGAAAGGATGGAACTTGCGAGGTGATAGAAGGCAATGTTTAACTCGAAAGTTTCGACATCGTAGAACAATGCTTTGCGGGATGGATTTCTGCATTGTGATGATGCAAATTGACTTCCTTTTGTAGAAAGCAGTATTATTATTGTACTCACGCATGTAACCCATCTCTCCGGAAGATAACAGAAATTGAGCCAACTTTCCCTCGTCCTTCCCGTATATTTACCCAAGTTCGAATTACATGGCATAGGCGATACCTGGCAGAATGTTTGGGATGTTTCATAAGTTCTACCCGTTTTTGCACTTCGTTTTGAATTGACGATTCCGGAGTAAGGCCATTTCCCTTGAACACTGCTTATATGATTCGATAGCTCTTTTCTTTAGTTTTTCATGCACTCTTTTTCTTAGATCTTTTTCACTCACTGGTTCCGTACCTTGGAAGGACTGCAAAACAACTGCAAAAAATTTTGTCGTTCCCCTTCTCCCTGAGATCTACAGCATAAAGGGAAATTTTCGTTTGGAACATAGGTATATAGTGTTTACTAGAGACTCGTGCTACGACTTTATGAAGAAGATTTTAGACTAGAAAATTCTGAACCTATAAGTTTTTAGTATAAGCATGACCTGTCGTTGTGGTCCTTCCCAGTCGCACAAAAATCAGAAACACATCGCAGTCGCGGGAATTTTGCTCTGTG